ATAATAGTGGAGGGAGACATACATGATAACGTATTTGTTTAAGTAAGCTATAATCATGTTGCCTAACCGTTGTGGGATTTCAGCCTGTTACTGAGTGATGTTCCTTTTACGTGTTGTAAGAAAGTCTTCACGATTAAAGAACTACAACATGTCATTGAATACAATGGTCCTCGTACTCATCCTCATATTCAAATTGATTATGATGAAATATAATCTGAACGTCGTAGTGTCTTGCGAAACCTGTCTAAAGTAATGAGCTTGAAGGAGTTGGAAGCTGCCTACAGAGTAGTGACGAAGAATCTAATGAGGAGGAGGGCCACTAAATGTCATATATGATTCAGTTAGGATCAAAAGATAGGTAAAAATTTATCGTAGAATAATAGAGGATGGAGACAAACATGATAGTGTCTTGTGAAACCTGACTAATTCAAATAAGCTCGAGGAGTTGGAAGCTGCCTACAGAGGAGTGATGAATCTTGTGAGGAGGTCACTAAATGTCATACATGATTCAGTTAGGATTAATAGATAGGTAAAAAAAAATTTAGACTTAATTGATGCACTACCTAACCTTATTTTAGACTTAGTCAAAATAATGTAATATGTAGGATAAATTAATAACTTCTTATTTTGTCAACACCACTATTTTGGAACGTGTAAATCCCCATCCATGATTGAGAGTACCGAGTGTTTTATTTTCCTTATGTTTTGTTATAATCAAGATATTATAAAGTGAATGTTAGGCCATGGCCTGGAGTGGGCCTGTAAAATAGGCTAGACTGGGCCATCGCAACGCTAAGCAGGATTAGCCTAAGCCTTAATTCGAATTATAATCTCATTTGTCACTCATACATATAAGAGAGGGTGGGGTGGTCATTCATGAATAAAGACTAGCTAATACTGTGGTGAATTGCTTGCAAAGTTAATTGCATCTCTCTCTAGTAGCTCATATTGTAGTCATAATTATTTAAATGCAACCATAATTAATATTAATTTACTTTTAGAAGTTTTTTTCCCCTCCAATAATTAAGAAGGGGGATGGGGGTGCAAATTTATACACTTTACAATGTTAGGCCTTGAACACATGACAAGCTGAGTGGAGACGAAACTCCTTACTGCTACACTAGTAGTAGTAAGGCACCAATACTTTTACACAAATATTGGAATACAATATACTTAGCTAGCTAACACACTTTTATAAGAATATTGAATGGAATTGATAATTAATATTAGTATTAAATGAATCATAAGTTTCATTTAAATCTTTTAGTTAAATAAAAGGGATGTTAGCTTATTTTATAAATTTTTTAAATTTATTAACTTAATTATCGGACTAGGCCAGGCTGTTTGTGAAAGCCCAGTTCCTACCCTTTAGACAATGAGCCGAGTTAAGTCCTTCCATAATATGGGTCGGGCTAGTACATAAGCCAATAAAGAAAATACAAATTTATAAATAAATCCAATCCTAGACATGTATTTATAAAAAAATTCAAACACTATTTAAACATAGAAACACACCCAAAATCAACAATTGTATATTTTTTGGATGTGTTTATAAATGAGTTTTGAGTGTGTGTAATGATGGGTTTTGGGTATGTTTATAATGGGTTTTGGGTGTTGGATTTTTTTATAATTTCAGTCCCCATTTTTGGTGTTTTAGTGAAACCCCCTAAAGAGAACTAGACAGTTGGTCCATTTTTGCCTGCCTATCATGGAGATTTATCATGTTTTTTTAAAATATAAATATTTATTTAAAATTTTAACAATTGCAATTGGTCTAAATGGACCCCAGCTATCTAACTCATGTGATTTTTTTTTTCCTTTAAAAAAAAAATATATATATATATTATTTTCTCTTTATACATTATATTAGAAAAAGAATTTGGCAATAAAGACAGTTTGAGTTATGCAGATGATTAAACCGGTTGGAAAAGACCAATACATGGAAAAAATAAATAAATAAATAAAGAGAGCTTGAGATTCAAGCCCAATTGAGAAGTTAAAATAGTAGAAAACCCATATAAAAAATTTATTAAAAAAAAAACCCAAAGTCCATTTTCAAAAACAAATAAACACTCCAAATTCCTATAAATTACAACACTGTAACTAATTTTTTATAAGAAAAAGAAAAACCCACAATATGAAGCCCAAAATAAACCCAATTAAGACAGCTGGTCGGCTTTTTCTCTAAATCTAACTCAGCTGGTGGGCATTTTTTTCTAAATTTAACCCAACTGGCAAGATGTGAGTTCTTTATCTAAATTTCATGACACAATGACAAAAAGGAAATTACATCTATAAAATATTAATAAATACATGACAGGTGGCTGATTTTGAGTTTTTCACTTCTCTATATTGAATTTGTTTTTTTGGTCGAACTCTAGATTGAATTAATCAGGGTATCTTTATAATATTGATAGTAGAATTGGGTATATTTATAAAAATCTCTAAAAGAAAAGAAATTTCGGCCATCATATATGTGTCTGGTTCCTTTCCACAGTATCATTTCCCACCTTCGATCAACCTTCGATCAGCATGCCCATATGAGTGAGTTTCCCCCTCCCCTTTCCTAAGTTTGGCAAAAAGAAAAAAACATAAACAAAACAAAACCAAAAAAAAAAAAAAAAACCAAACAAAGGAAAAAAAAAAAAAAAAAAAGACGTCATGTGAAAGCTGTAGGTGACAATTTCCTTTAGACATCTGAGGATCTATCCCCAAATGGATTTCGAACAGGTTTATCTTTACAATTACCAACTTAAGCATTGCTAGTTTTATCCATATTTCATAGAAGGATGTCTCATTAGTGGGGAAAGCCATGTTCATATTGTTGATGCTTACATTACCGGTCCAACTTCCACTGGACAAACTGGATTTTGGTTAATTGGAAAGTATCTGGTTGCCAATAATTTTTTTACAGATTGATGTGGATTGCTTGGAAGCACTGCATCAAGTTGCATAGACACCAAGTTAAGAGAAACTAAGCACAACTTTGTAATTCTATGCTTAAAAGGTTCCACTTCCCTTGCATTCTTATCAACTAAATCTTGATAAGCATTTGACATTGATTTTCTTAGTGGCAGCATGTGATTCTCAAGCATATAGAACATCCACTACAAAGAAAATAAGTTTAAATACAAAACTTTGACCTGCCAGCAACAGTTCAAAACCAAATAATCACACAGCTAAATGGACCAAATCGCAGATCTCAAACACAAACTATGAAAGCCATTATAAAATTTTCAAATGAAATCAAAATCCATCTGATGATCCTATGGTTTTTAACCACCCTGGTTTAAGGCCAAGCTTGGACAGTGATGTCTTATCTCCAGGAGATGTGCTTTTTACCTAGAAAATACTCCTCCCCTGAGCCCACAACTACCTTTTGGCAAATAATCAGATAACATAGGCCATTCAGAATCACTTGCACACAATGAGTTTCTTCCATTTAGAAGCTTAAGTTATGGCAATAAGACCAATGCATAACAAGCATAATGATCAGTACTTCTAATTCTGAAAGATTTGGAGGTTCACTACATGCAAGCCTGTAAGACAAATCTTACATCAACCCTTCAGATATGCAAGGTTTTATGAACTGAACGAGCAATCCATCTTGAGCTCACCTAGAATAATATTTATGCACAAAACATCTTCTGAAAATCCAAATGTACTCAAACTCAGTAAGCACATGTGCATGGGGCATTAGCTTTATGAAACAGTTCATAACACACCCTGTATAGAATATTCTTTAAACATGTGGTCCTGATCATTTTGAGACCATATCCAATTGTTACAAGTCATTTTTGTCAAAATGCAGCATATCATTTTTATCCTATTTTAGACTTCCTTAACTCAGAACCCCAAAAATACAATGTCTTTCATTTCATATTGGTGTAATAGATAATAGTCAATGCGGTCGCACTCTTTTATAGGGGGTAATCCATAGTCTAGTGGCAATAGAGATGTTTGCAGTTTAACTGTCTATACCTAGAGAACACACATACCTGAAGAATATTACTTCCCTAAGCCCACTACCTTTTGGCAAATAATCACAAAACATAGGCCATACAGAATCACTTGCACAGAATGAGTTTCTTCCATCTAGAAGCTTAAGTTAACAACACTGATGCATCATAAGCATGCATGATGAATACCTCTAACTCTAAAAGATTTGGAGGTTCACTACATGCAAGCCTGTAAGACACTCTTACATGAACCCTTAAGACATGCAAGGTTTTATGAACAATCCATCCTGCGTTAACATAGAAGGATATGCACAAACCAACTTCTGAAAAACCAAATGTACACAAACTCTTGAGCACATACGCATGGGGCATTAGCTTTGTGAAACAGTCCATGACACACCCTGTACAGAACATGTTCCAAACATGCCGTCCTGATCATTTTTAGACCATATTCAATACGTTACAAGTCACCTTTGTCATGAAGCATACCATTTTTACTTTTAGTCAATCTGTTTGTTCCAGTACTATATGTACGTGTTTATTTATTTAGAAGTCACACCAATTGACCAGGGTGGTCGCACTCTCTTATGGGGCCTAATGTATAGTCTAGTGACAATAAACTACTAAGACAACCGTCTATGTCCATACAACAAACAAAGAGATATAATAGGAATTCAAACTACCGGATTCTTCTATTTATATTATTTATTTTTTTGTCAACAGAAGGTTTTTCAATAAGGCAAACCAACCTGACCGCTAGAATATGGCAAAGACCAAATACAAGATAAATAACATCACAACATGTTGATCCCAGTGACGACAAAAGAAAGTCAATATTATAGCCATATGCATCCTTTTGTAAGCAAATTTCACAATTGGAGACAACCTTGAAAAATGAAAATTTTAAACAGGGAAAAAATTGACGAGTAACAGGCTTGGCTTTAACAAACTGATTTTACTAATGGATGTTCATACTACTTTGAATCATTGAAGGTTGTAGAGTTATTACGATAAACACATGTACATTTCTTCGGTTGACAGTTAACAGTAATTCCCAGCAACGTAAATCAATTAGAAGCAACAGCTAGCTTAAATGTTTATTAGGAAAGAAACAAGGAACATGTATAGGTACAACCAAAAACTAAACTCAAATTCCACAAGCCTTTCCCAAAGTTTTGATTTTCTTTTTTTTTCTCTTTCTTTTTTACAATACACAGAAACTTACACATAAATCCAAGTATCTTCTTCCTTCCTCAGACATCCAAGTTTTCCATCTGAACGCTGCTTTTGAGAGGCACGTATTCTCCAAGATATCCGCCAAGGTGATCATGCAAAGCACTCTTGTCAATCCCCTGATGATGGTAACTCTTGCAAACATAGTAAAACACACTCTGCAACAACAACCCAACCAAATTCACAATCACCAAAACACCCACCAAGAACCCACCCACCACAATCCTCACAAAAACCCCATAATCTTCCCCGCCATGGACCACCACCGTCCCAAAAACGCCTCCGATAACCCCACAAATGGACAAGTACCCGAACACCAGCAAAAAAGCCATCCCAATCTTCCCCTTCAGCAGCTCATAGCTCTTCTTCATCGCAGCGAACCCGTAAACGGGCTCAAGCACAGAAACAACGCTGGCCAAATGCCAGACCACGGTTATATAAACATGTACAACCAAGAATAGAAGAAATAGCACAACGCCGGAGAAAAGAAGCAAAAGTGGGTTCTGGGTATCAATGGCGAGAATGAGAAGGATCAAAAAAGCTACAAAGACGAAATTGTAACAGACCATTAGGAGAGAGACCCAGAGGAAAGTGATGAAGAGGCGCTTGAAGACTTTGGGGATGGCGGAGAGGGTTGAGGAGAAAGAGACGGGCTTTGAGGTGTAGAGGGAAGCGACAGTGAAGACCACTGCGGCTGTGGAAAGGAGAGAGAAGGCGAAGAGGAAGATGAGGTAGCAGAACTGGAAGAGGAGGAGGACAGTCCATTTGTGGTGGAGCTGGGCCGGGTCGGTGGACGGGCCTTGAAGCTGGTTGAGGAGAGGGTGGGTGAAGAGGGAATGGGCTAGGATTGCGAAGGAGAGGGGGAAAATTAGGGTTAGGGTTATGAGGTAGAAGGTCTTAGGGGACTGTTTGGGGATGGAGGTTGATTCTCTGAGGATGTCTGGGATGGTGAGAAATTGAAGCTCCTCTGGGGCCAGATCCATGGGTCTGGTTGGAGGAAAAGAAAAGATAACAAAAATTAAATGGAAATTGTGAAGATTTGGTAAATGGGTTGTTTGAGTTTGAAAGAGATGGTGAGCTGGGAGGTATCAAGATCTTATTTTTAGGAGATGGAGAGAGAGAGAGAGAGAGAGAGAGAGAAGGGATTAGGGGATTGGGGAAGAAAGGAATGAACGAAGAAGAAGGTGGCAAAAAAGCATTGATTTTTTATTTTTATTTTATTTTATAAATTATGATGCCTACCTGTAATGCAAAGAGCTTTAACGCATGTGTTATTTACCGACAAAAATAAGGGCCCGTTCAGTCCTTAGAGCCATTTGGTAGTTTTCATTTTCTACCAAAAATACTTTCGGTTTGTCGTTTTCATTTTCATTAAAATTGTTTTTTGAAAATAAATTTCAACTCATGTACAAAAATTAAAATTACCAAATTACCATTTTCATTTTCTACCCAATGTATTGGTCTAATTGCTTTTCTTTTTTTCATATTATTCAATTTCATATTTATTTTAAACTAAAGATAATATTATTTTATAATCCAAGTTTTGCTAAAATTAGATTTTTTTTTTAATTATACATTATTATTCTCAAAGTATACATTTTTCATTGTTTGTAATGATATTGGTCTTTAAAATATCAGAAATTTTTTTAAAAAAAATTTAGGACAAAAATTAGCAAAAAATATACTTGAAAAATAACTCACAAATTATTATCTCAAATTGTCATACCAGACATGTTTTCACTCTTTTTATTTTTTTGAATATGTTTTCCAATTAATCTACCAAACGCATTTTCGAATCTTGAAAATGCAAATTCATTTTCTCATTTTCATTCGCATAAAATATTCTCAGAAAACATTTCCGAAAACGTTAGGACCCGTTCAAACACTCATAATTATTTATTTATGTCTCCATTTTTTTCTGTGCTCATAACTTTATAGTTCTCTTTTTTGTTATTATGGTGGTTGTATAACTATATCTTTATATTTATGGAAGACATAAATATATAGACAAATGTTTAAAAAAAACTATTTTTTAAAAAAAAAGGGAAACATAAAAACATGGCAAAACATAGAAAAGGCTCATTTCGGCTCGACCAGGCTCGATGAATTTTCTAAGGCCTAGTCATGGGCCGACATGGGCTTTGAATTTTCTGAAAAAGCCCGGCCGACCTAGCCCATTATTTTCTCTTTCTTTCTTGAAGCCCGGCTCGGCCCAACCTAAGCCTATCATATTTAGGCTAGGCTAGCTAGACTTGGCCCATTGATAAGGCTTACTCGACGATGAGGAGGTAGGAGCAAAGTTGAAGCTAAGGGACTTGAGTTCTCTTTGAATGAATATTCAAATGCCAATTGGTGTAATGTGGTGGGGAGTCTGTCAAAGGTACTAGCTGAGGTGGAAAAAAGGTTTGCGGGTGCTGGCAATGGAAAACTCAGTGATGAAATGGGCGGTGGTGGTTGGCCTGAAACAGCCACACGAAAGTCATGATACAACTAGTGTGGAACTGTCAAGGGTTGGGGAATCCCATGACAGTTATGTTCCTTAAGGAACTCATACGTTCCAAAAATCCCACTCTGGTTTTTTTGATTGGCTTGTTGCGTCTTCATGCCATAATAGCATAAGAGCCCAATGAAGAATCCTACCACACAAGAGTTAAATATTAGCTCCAACTAGAACAGCCATTCTGCAACCACAATCTTTGCATACTTCACACGCCCATATCGTGATCATGCACACAAACAGGCAAAGCAGGCCCATCGCTACAACCACGATATTGTAGTCACATGCCATCATGATTTGATTTTTGAGGAGGAGGAAGAAGGGGAAGGGAGAGGGAGAGAGACAACTAGGAAATCCTATTACAACACTATGAGACCAAAAACAATAGTGTCCTATATATATATATGTACACCACTAGAGCTTTCATGCAATTGAAGTTAAGGGACTTGAGTTTTCTTCGACTGAATATTCAAATGCCATTTGGTGTGAAGTGGTGGTGAGTCCATCGAAGGAACTAGCGCAGCTGTGGAACTTTCAAAGGTTGGGGAATCCCATGACAGTTTTGTACCTTAAAAAACTCATACAGCTTTTTTGACAGAATGACTATTTAAGAGCACCTATATTAACGTTAGGAACCATGAGTTATACAAAAAAAACTTTAAGGATGTAATATGATAGTTTTGCAAACGTCATCGACGTTTTTTGATAAAAAGCCAAAAAAGAAATTTAATTATGAGAAGAAAGCCATGTAGGGGTAGATTAGTCAAATTCTTTTAAAAACATTTTTTAAAAAGCCCAACAGGCACACACCCTCATCTCTGTCTCTCCCTCTATCACATTCACACATCATAACTGTGCTTCAATGGTCAACGCAGTCTAGTTCAATAGAAAAGAGACTTGACTTGGATATCCACTACAAAAAAAAGAAGACAATAGTCACAATTTTAAAGCAACAAATAGATTTTGGTGACATTTGAATGAGTGGTCACTATTAATTGTGACTAGTTATCTCACACTTTAAAGAATTAGTGATTATTGATTTAAATATAGTAAATATAAAATCATTCTGACACTTAAATAGTAATTTTGCAATATAAAACGTAGAAAAAACTATACGTATCTGTGACATGGGAAGGTGTTTTTTTTGGTCAACCTGACATGGGAAAGTTGGCAATGAACTCCTCACCATTATTGGTGACATTCAAATTAAATATAATAAATATAAAATTAAAAAGTAATATAGTATAGTGTACCCTACACAAAGTGTACCCAACTAAAGCCAAGGAGATGTATGCCGATACTATTGTTATGTGCTGGTAAGATAACAACCATCCATCAGTGCAACTACCTACAAGCCACAAATCTAGAGGACAACTCCCTCTTTTTTCTATTTTTCCCCCTCTCTCTCTCTCTCTCTCTCCCTCTCCCTTTCTCTCTGGTTTCTCTCTCCCTCTCTTCATCTTCCCCCCCTCTCTCTTGAACAAAATCTCTAGATCTGGATCTAAAGTGGTTTTCAGGACTGCAATATGGATTCCATCACCATCATATGGTTTCTTTGATCTTATAAACATCACAGCCGCGACGAACAATTTCTCTTTCCAGAACAAGTGGATTTGGTTCTGTCTATGAGGTAGCCGTCCTCAGAATCATTTCACTTTTTTGTGTTGTCATGCATTATTTGATTTCTAATAGTTTCCTCAAAAGAATATGAGTTTAGTTTGGATTATAATTTCAGGGTGTGCTTTACAATGGAAAGGAAATAGCAGCGATAAGGCTGTGAACAGAAGATTATATGAATACTTGAAAAAAACAGAGCGCTTTTGAATTGGACAAGATACTTAGAAATAATCTGTGGGATTGCTGCTATGGTGATCTTATATCTTCATCAATATTCAAGATTAAGAATCATTTATAGAGATCTAAAGACAAGCAATGTTCTATGAGATGCTTCTATGTATCCCAAAATTGCAGATTTTGGTATGGCTAGGATATTTAAGGGAGATCAAAATGAAAATAAAACAAATCGTGTGGTTGGGACATAGGGGAGATGGAGATGGTGTTGCTGCCTGCGAAGTGGTGGTTTGGTTGACGGTGTTGGGTGGGGGTGGGAGAGGCTGTCTGGAGTTGCGTGGGTTTGGGATGTTGGTGGTTTAAGGGTGATTGGACATGACAAAATAATAAAAGACGTATTGCCTGACAAAATAATAAAATATGCATGACTAATGGTGATTGGACATGATGTACTTTTAGATGGTGTTCAGAGTCAGTTTGTGTTTGTCACGAATGTTGTTAAAATGGTGAGAATAGGCTTTAGTCACGGCTTCATATGTAACAAAGCCCAAAATTGTAACAGCACCGTGACTATTGCTTTTATTCACCAAAAAAGGTGACTAATGATGCCAACAGTCACCAATAAAAAGGTAACAATTGTTGATATTTTTTTGTAGTGATTAGAGGTCCCAAGTTTGAAACCCTCGTGGCATGTTAGTTGTGTGCGTGTGTGTGAGAAACCCCCTCCTATATAATATAAACTATCGCTTGTACTCAAATTTTTTGGCTTCAATGGGCAGTATTATTTTGACATTTGAATGTGAAATAGATCCGAATTCATACTCTAGCTGAGCAGTGGCTACGTTAGACATTATAATTATGAGTACAAAGTGTTGTGTTACATAAGTTTCAATCACGGCATAAAATTAAAAACATAAGTTACAATATGACAGGTAATTGACAATACAAAATTGCAATTTTTTGTACATTCAAACATTGCTGCAAAGAGAGGATTTGTGGTCACTATGCTGAGAAATGTAAGAGCACGATTTTGAGGTACCAACGAAAGCTCAAATTGGTAAGTAGGATGATAATGGCACAAACTAAAATCGTAGGATATGTTAGTCATACCATATTTGTATACCACTAGTATACGTACCACCTCTCTAATAGAGGTGGGAGCCCACCAATATAATGGAGTCCACCTCTATTAGAAAAGTGATACACAAGGTGGTATGACTAACATTTGTGTTAATTAATGGTGTTATAGCAGCTCTTGTTGTGTATAGGTTCTTGTGTGTGCATCTCATATACGACAACATACTCACGGGGGACGGACCAGTGTGGGGCTGAATTTGACCAAAAAACAAAGGTTTCGATGTTTTGTGTTTGTGGACGTGTTAGGAGGCGGCTGAATTATAATAGGGGCGGCTGAGATTGTAATTGAGGAGGCTCGAATTGCTATATATGTATGTACCATATAGAGCGGCCGCTGAGATTGAAATCCAGAAGGCTGGGTGATGAGGAAGCTGGAGAGAGTAGGGGTTGAACCAAGAGGATGAGGCCAGAGTGGCAAGCTTAAGAACACTGCTTAGTTGTTTTCACCACCAGATGGACTGAGATTGTAATTGATATTCCTTGCAAGCTCGAACCCTGTTAACAAACTTTTCTAGCAGGTGCTCAAGCTCCACCGGATCCTTAAAGTGCACACGGCTCAGGTCCTCACCAGTGTAGCATTCATATATTCCTATACAGGTTTTGAACTTTTGAGTGCGCTACAATTAATTAATCCTGAGATTAAGTTTAAATTAAAATTCAGTACACAATGATTAATGAGGTGATGAGCTAAACTTATTCCGTGTCATTGCGTTGTGATATTCTAGTCCCTCTAGCAACCTGGTACCTTTGAATCAGCTCATCCATACAAAACATATGCAAGGAATCAATGATTGAAATATCGGCCGATACACCGATATATCGGTATTTTCAACTGTTGACACCAATACCGGGGGGTAAGGTCATATCTTCCCCTGTATCAACGATATATCCCCGATAAGTGCGATATCCCCGATATTTTGTCGATATCCCTGATATTTCCCGATACCCATAATAGAACCTAAAAAAAATTTCAAAAGTTTTGAAGACAATTGAAGCAAATTGAAACCCAAAAATAGCTAATCATTGTCAGACCCTAATTTATTAATATGAAGAATCTATGCACAGTCCACTACCCACATACCTCTAATCCATTTGAAGATGACATGGCAATCAGTTTTGGATGTATGAGCATAGGAACTAGACCTAGTACTAACTCAAATGAATCTTATGATGGTTATGGTTATGTCATGCCTGATTATAATGAAACTAGTTATGAAGCTTCAGATGATAAAACAGATTATTGACTTACTAGTTGGTTAATCCTAACTATCCCATATATGGGAGGATAATAGGGAGCTTAAGAGAGACCTATGTGCACAATGTTCAAACATGGCTTAGAAACTGCTCAGGTTACATGACTTGGTATGACTATTGTATAAATCTAGATGGTTATTCCTCATTATTTGAACCTCATAGGAGCTCTTCATTTATGTAGATAGACACTTATCTAAATTGTAATCCAATGTTTAAACAAACTATAGATTTATACATGGTTTATTCATTCTAATTAACCTTTTATTTTCAAACTTTTCGTTAACACGCATTACATGCCACTTATATTTCATCATATGTATATCTTATTATTTGTAAATTTTGAGTTTTATTTGTTCAATACATTTATTGATAATGTACATAATATATATGAAAGTTTTACACCAAAATTATGTGTTTGGCCTATATCTGTCATTTTTGTTGATTTTTTTCCCGATACCTAAAACAATAACGATATATCCCCCGAAATATCTGTAAATTGGAGGCCCAATATTATTTGCATAGCCGATATTTTAATCCTTGCAAGGAATATGTATAAATAAATAAAAAAACTTATAGTTTCCATGGTTTTTCTACAAATAAAAGTATACATTAAATCATATAAACAAAAATAAATAAATACATTTAACATAAAATGAATACATAATAAATGCAACAACAAAAGTACATATTATCAAAATGAATATATGTTCAACAACATAATTAAAAGTGTATATGTTCAAGTTGTGTCTAATAGCTGAAGTTTGGGGTTAATTATTGTTTTATTGTTAGTTAGCTGATTGAGTTGCTATAAATAGCACTCCCTCTTGTAATCACATTCATTAAGAATAGAATCTAATTCTACTTCATCTCTCTCTGATCTTTCTTCTCTCGTTTCTCTCACTATCAAATTCTAGCTTTCTTAGCTCTGCAATCCTCTCTCATGGATTCTAACAGGGCATTAGAGCCGTGAGGTTGGCATATTCTTCTTCTTTCAGCTCTCATTTGCTCCCTCCTCCGTTGCTTCGTCAATTTCGCCGCATCAAATCTTTGATTTGTCATCCGATTCTCTCTTCGCTTCTGAAGCTAAGTTCTTCTCTTCAGGATTCTTATTTTCTGCAATCGCTAGGTTCATTAATTTGTGCGATAGCTTGATTCTTGGTGTTTCTGGCGCACACTTTGAATCCCTAATTTTTGCATTACTTTGGGATTTTTCTCTCTCTCTCTCTCTCTCTCTCTCTCTCTCTCTCTCTATCTGTCTGAGCTGTCATTGTGTCAAGATTGGTGTGATTGTTGGTGAAACCTTACCTATGCCCTTTTCTCCTTCTGTCACTCCTTTATATATTTCTCCAATAATAGCTGACCTTTCTCCAACAATGTTTCCCTAAGGGTTTTTTTTCCTTCAAAAACCTTTCATTAAACAAGCGTCAAATTTCATATTTTCATGATACTGGCTCGTTTGGGACTACTTCTCTAAGAAGCACGTCTATGTATAAGCGCTTCTATCAAAAGAGCTTTTATTATAAAGACGTTGAAATTTTTCATAAGAAACCAAAGTGCTTCTTGAAAAAGCACTTGGGAGTGATTCCTAAAAAAGCACATGACATGTGCTTCTCCAGAAACTGATTCTATAACCCAAAAGCACTTCTAAAAATTTCTGCCAAACGCTGTTAGAAGCGCTTTTGGTTGTCAGAAAGCGTTTTTAACTTTTCCAAAAGCACTCCCAAACGGGCCCTAGTGTAGTTGTTAATGGACCATATATATAATTTTGTTTTCTTCAAAAATCAACCTAGCCCATAGCTCACCATAGCCTTGTGGGTGGTTCCGCAATTAACGTATAATTTTGACACATTTTATCCAAGTTAACATCAATAATATGTAACATCAATCCCGTTCTCTTGGACCCTTGTAGTCCAAAGAAACTGTGGTCAACTACCCTCAGATTAGATCTAATGGTTGAGAAAAAAAAGAACTAATTTAAAAATTATAATTGTATCATCAAAACATTATTTTGATAATTAAAAATAAGTTTTAAAAAAAAACCCAAACCACCACCACCATTATTCGATTGAAAAAAGGCAGAACTTTCCACCACCACGTGATCAACTTCCACCATCTCCTTCATACAATGGAGAAGATCAACCTCCATCTCGCCCCTCCTCTCGACCAGATTGCCACAAATGACCAGATTCTCTCATGGGTCGGGTCCTTCATCACCACCATTCACATGGGTCAGTTGTCGAATCATATTGAGGCCATAGAGCTCACTTCCCCAAGTTTGTTATAATTTCAATCAGAGTTGGTGGCTATGAATGTCGATGGATGCAAGAACATGTTCTTCGTTTTCTCCAAAAAGCGTGGTTTGCTTTCTTTTACTTTTTTAATTTTAGTTTTTGTTAAATAAAATTAATATAAAATGATAACATATTGATTTTTAAACTTGTTTTTTCTTAACCATTAGATTTGATCTAATGGTTGGTGACCACAGTTTCCTTGGACTACAGGGGTCCAGGAGAACGGGACTGTATGTAACATTATTATAAAGCGATCCCCAAAAAAATGTAGAAGAAAGTAATCTGGCCATATGGCATATGGGATACATTTGTGCTATTATACATCAGGGCCGGTCAATTGATTTTGATTTTGGAGGCCCTGGACAAAAATAAAAATTGAGGCCTTTTATGTTCAATATTTACCTTAGTTTGAACAAAAATTAAAATAAAAGTTTCAAACTTAAGTTTGTTAGTTTATGTAAAAGAGGTCCACTACATGAAAAGTATAAAGCCCAAAATGTATAAGTTACACATATAAAATGCCTTTTTGCAACTATATCTCTTGGGCTAAAATGTGTTACAGGGGGTCCTATTTTTTTGGGGACCTTGTGCTGTCATCCAGTCCACACAGCCTGTGGGCTTAGCCTGATATACATTAGAGTCGCCTGTTAGACTTTATCATTTCAATTAATCTGTAAGTAATTATATGTCTCATATATATATATATATACATATATATTTAAGGGAGTTTCACTAAAACACCCAAAATGGGGGTTGAAATTATAAAAAAACCCAAGTACTATTTAAACATATAAACACACCCAAAACCCATATTTAATCCATGTACCATTCAATTTATTTGGTGAAAAACCATGGAGTAGAATAATTAGAAAAGTCCTATAAATTGGAGGGATGGTATTTAGAGTACTCATACAACGGTCACATTTGAGTCTGCATGTCAAGTACATAGTGCATTGGTACTATTATGATATAGAATGTAATTTGCTAGGGTTTTGAAAATGATTCGAGTGTCAAATATTGGTGGTGAAAATGGTGTGGGAACCACAAGTCATCTAATGCGTTTATCAATTTTGTGACAGAAGGAAAGGTTTGAAAAAAATTCAAGGGGAGGGTGGGGACAAATCAACAATAACATCAAAAGTTCTCTCTCATATTTTCAGAGACCATAATATATATATATATATATATGCTCTTTGTTGTTCAAAGTACATTTATTTTAACTTAGCTAATTGTTGGGTCTTGATCTAAATTAGCCATTTTCTTCTTGTTTAACTTAGCTAATTGTTAGTATATATATCTCACTCTCTAGGTAAAGCACTAGGTATTTTGCTTCCAAAGTCTTCTCTCTCATATTTTCACATACCATATTATATATATATATATATATATGCTCTTTACCTCTTAAGTATTTTGCTTCTAAACTCTTCCTTCTCTCTAGTGTGTGTATACATATATCTCTCTTTGGAATGACCAGAAATGATCATAGCGCATAAGAGATTTTTTCCACTTGGGTTCTGAACTTCCTCTTACATCCACTTGTCGTGTTTTCTTGTATTAATTATTGTGGATGAGGTCATATTATGGTGTGTATATATATAAATATATCTTTCACTTTAAATTTGAATATACACATATATAATGTTGCTAATTGGATTATTGGTTGATATATGTGTGTGGGATGTTCATCATGTAATAAGTTGTAAGCACTGTAAATTGATTAATATAACTAATAGGCAATAACACTTTGAAGAATGTTAATTGTTATTTATTGTCTTGAATTGATAATTTTTAGGGAGTTTCACTAAAACACCCAAAATGGAGGTTGAAATTATAAAAAAACCCAAAACCCATCATTATACACACTCAAAACCCATTTATAAACACACCCAAAAAGTTGACTGGGGTTGATTTTGGGTGTGTTTCTATGTTTAAATAGTGCTTGGGTTTTTTTATAAATACATGTCTAGGATTGGGTTTATTTATAAATTTGTATAATTTTTATAATGAGCAACCCTTCATTTAAGATTTTTATTGGGTAAAAGTCTCTCATCATTTATTTTCATCCAACAAAAATAGTATGTTAAAATAAGAACCCTTTGTTGATTAACATACTTTTTTCAGTACTATGGTTTGGTTTTGAGTTTTGGCTCTTTAGCCTCATCAAATTCAAACGATCTAACCAGATTACTATACCTACTTGCTAGCTGCATAGATCTGCATACCTAAGGTTTTCCTATAGCATATTAATCTTTGACTGAGGCACTTCATGATTACAATGTCAGATAAAAACAAAGAAAATAAAAATTCCTGATTAATTGTTATATTTTCATGATCCACCACCTCCCCACTGATGTCTACCCGCTACAATCTCTATCGTTTAATCACAGTGCTTTGTTTATTGTAGGTATTGATACCACCTTAATTGATGCAATATCTTTTGGATGTGGTTTCTTTCTCATAATTACCCAGATGTATATTCTACTTAACCATCGAAGGAGGAACTTCGTGGAAGCAGTAATGATTCTTGCTCTTGCAGTTGCATGCATGAGAGGGTATCTGTCATATTTACCTTTCTTCATCTGCACCCTTCGTGGAAGCAGTAACTTTGTTGTGTAGTCATACATATTACTGCTTCCACAAAGGATGCAGATGAAGAAAGGTAAATATGACATATACCCTCTCATGAATGCAACTGCAAGAGCAAGAACCATTACTGCTTCCACGAAGTTCCTCCTTCGATGGTTAAGTATAATATACGGCTGGGTAATGATGAGAAAGAAACCACATCCAAAAGATATTGCATCAATTACGGTGGTATCAATACCTACAATAAACAAAGCACTGTGATCAGACGATAGAGATTGTAGCGGGTAGACATCAACTGGGGAGGTGGTAATCATGAAAATGTAATAATTAATCAAGAATTTTTATTTTCTTTGTTTTTATCTGACATTGTAATCATGAAGTTGCCTCAGTAAGAGATTAATATGCTATAGGAAAACCTAGGTATGCAGATCTGCGCAGCTAGCAAGTAGATGTAGTAAACTGGTCAGATCGTTTGAATTTGATGAGGCTAAAGGGCCAAAACTCAAAACCAAACCATAGTACTGAAAAAAGTACGTTAATCAACAAAGGGTTCTTATTTTAACATACTATTTCTGTTGGATGAAAATAAATGATGAGAGACTTATACCCAATAAAAATCTTAAATGGAGGAGTGCTCATTATAAAAATTACCAATTCAAGAAAATAGAGACAATGAATAACAATTAACATTCTTCAAAGTGTTATTGCCTATTAGTTATATTAATTAATTTACAGTGCTTACAACTTATTACACGATGAACATCCCACACACATATATCAACCAATAATCCAATTAGCAACGTTATATATGTGTATATTCAGATTTAAAGTAAAAGATATATTTATATATATACACACCCTAATATGACCTTATCCACAATAATTAATACAAGAAAACATGACAAGTGGATGTAAAATTAAGAGGAAGTTCAGAACCCAAGTGGAAAAAATATCTTATGCGCTATGATCATTCCTGGTCATTCCAGAGAGAGATATATATATACACGCACTAGAGAGAAGGACGAGTTTGGAAGCAAACACTACTAAAAAAAGGCTCAAAAGAGACTGAGTGCTATCAGTGCCTTTCGACTTCTTTAGGGACTGAAAACAGTGCCTATTGTAGTATTAGGGACTGAAATATATCAGTGTCTTTTAAAGGGGTCCTCTATTGATAAAATGTCACTGATTATAAAAATCAGTGCCTAATGTTTGCAATGGGTCCCACATTCCTAGCACCCAATACGCGTACATCAATCCCAAATACATCCGTGCCTAATATAATTAAAAGGCACAGAATGCCCATCAGTCCCTACTAAAATAGAAAAGCATTTTCATTATTTTGATATATTTATATTTATTTGGTGTTTAAAAAAAATATTATTTGTAATTTTCAATTTATCCACCATCCGTGCCTGTAAAATATATTATTTTAAAAGTTTTCATATATTTAAACATTAGCAACCCAGCCTCAATCCGTGCCTTTCAAACATTCATTGGTTTTTTTTTTTTTTTTTTTTTTTTTTTTTTTTTTTTTTTTTTTTTTTTTTTTTTTTTTTTTTTTTTTTTTTTTTTTTTTTTTTTTTTTTTTTTTTTTTTTTTTTTTTTTTTTTTTTTTTTTTTTTTTTTTTTTTTTTTTTTTTTTTTTTTTTTTTTTTTTTTTTTTTTTTTTTTTTTTTTTTCCGTTTTCAAATATTCATTGTTTTTCAAATAAATGAATTACATTCCTAATGAAAATAATTATATTCAACATTCCGAAAATAATGAGAATACACCATACACAATAATTCCATTAATCTTTTCATAATGAAAATACAGAAAGTGTTGCAAGTGGTGGACCTATCCTCAGGACTATTACATTAATATTTTCATACTGAAAATAGACCAAGTATTGCAAGTGGTCAACCTTTTTAACAAGAATGCTACAGTTATGATATTAAAAACCAAAAATTTACCTGGAAAAGAGAAAAAATCCGGAATTTCATTAAGCTCCACCGTGCTATTCACCATTAACTTCCATTCACCTCCTCATTGCTTGACTTGATTCACCATTGAGTTCCTCCTTGCTTGACTGGATTTGCCACTCAACTAAGTATTGGCTTTCCTCTGGCCAGAAGGTAATTGTAAGTTACTCTCTATATGCTAAGGTATATATCAATATAAATGAAATACAAACAGCATGCCTATAAATTGGAAACCAAAATAATTTGCATATTATCATGCATTTCAGTGGTTCTCTCAAGATCTGGAAGTGAGTTTTCGCAGTATAACTCACCCTGGTAAGAATTCTGCAAGAACAGACAATCTTTTAGCACCAGGTCTCCCAACTTGCTTGATTATGCAGTCGTCTTCCTGACATCTAGAAAATGTGACGAATTAAAAAAGGGAAAGGGCAATGATCGCATATCAGTTTACAATATAGTAAAAGGATTATTTCTCCATTGTTACAAAAGAAGTAACTTTCTGATTTGAATGAGTATGACAATATAGCAGTTAAATTTCGCATTGAAGAAACAAATGGGAATCAATGTAGATAATCTCTTGGAGTTATTTCAGTCAATGATAAATCAAGATCACATAAGCATTCAAGAACCAATAACATTTTGATAAACCCATGTGAAAACACAGAGATATGCACCAACCTAGCTGTGGTTTTCAAACAGAACAGCCTATAAAGCTTCAGCCCATGGCCTTAACTTTCTGTCCACTGAACCATATCCTCCTCATGATGCAAAGATTCAGGACTCTAGACTATCTCCAAGTCATCTGTTGTTAGAGAAAAATACCTGCAACATATTACCAAATAAGTGTCCAGCCAGCGTGTCTATTGTACCTTAAAAAGAAAGGCATAAAATTAGAAAGAAAAGAAATACACCAACAGTAACAGATAGAAGCCACAGTTAGTCAAAGTAGTGCACCAAATTTAACCTTATGTCTCTCACTCTACTAAATACAAAATTTCATCAAAATAAACTAAATTTATCAGATAAAAAGGACTAATAAATATATTTTAGGAATATACATTAAGATATAAAATGTGCTCATCAACAGCCATAAAATACCATTAATTAAGCTCCTCCTCCTTGACTTGATTTAGTCTCCATTTGCTTCAAGGGGCAGCTCATCTTCAAGCCTTTTTCCATTCCTCTACACCAAATTTTTCCGAGATATTAAGACAATTGTAATGGATATTTTTAAAAGATACATCCACAAGCTCAAGGAAGTACCAAAAATGAGGAGAATCTAAGAGTCATGAATTAGTAAAATTCGAGGAAAGCAGAAGACGACATTTAATCACAATGCTGCAGTTAATACCTACCATAAAGATAGATGACCATTAAAAATCAAGATAAATGGGTAAAAGGGTAGGGAATAACTCAAAATTAGCTTAAACAGTAAATGACTACTATGTTACTACTCTTACTCCTGCCTAGCATGCGAATCCCTCTTATTCATTGGTTTTGGTCAACATATTTGCATTTTTAGGCTCAAAGATGCATCTTCGTACCAAAATATTTGTTGCAAAACCTGCCTCAATCCTTCATTTGAATGAATGCGTTAACTAATTAATTAATTAATTAAGGTACTTCAAAAAGAGAGGGAAGAAAAAACAAGGAATTCAAGCATTAGGAAAATGTAGCAAATTTATGGTGACAATTGAAGGTTAGTGCAAGTGTAAATAAGGGCAAAGTTCGTACCTTGAAATGCAAAATGATTCACAAGATACTGATTAATTAATCTGGAAACTGAAACTTGTGATGTAGGGATTTGTAAATCAATCGTCAATATACACAAGATCGTTCTGCTTTCCAATTTTCAAACCTTCCAAAAGTTATCAAATTATAACATGCAGATCAAATTACAAAAAGAAGAGGAGAAAAGAAACAACTATACCTTTCGCCTTTGAGCTGGAGGAGGCAGCGGTCTGAGTTTGGTTTATGGGTAAAATTTGGGGGTTTTTCGTCTGGGTTTCGGTGGGGTGTGCAAGAGGCAATTAACGGGACTGAGAGGTTGAGAGAGAGGGCTGAGGGAAGACTGCGGTGTAAGAATATATTAACGAATAAGATGGAGAAGCGACGTGTCAATTGCCGAAGACTAATTGGCATCGTCATAAAGGTTATCAAAAAAATTGAAACCTGTGAAGCCACCACAAACGATCCGAAGAACGGAGGATCTGAGTGAGATAGAGAGGTTGAGAGAGGAGGGAGGGAGGAGGAGTAGGTAGTTGAAGAGTTGAGAGAGAGAGAGAGAGAGAGAGAGAGAGAGAGAGAGAGAGAGAAGACTTTGGAAGCAAAATACCTAGAGGCATTGCTGCTTTACCTGGAGAGTGAGATTATACTAACAATTAGCTAAGTTAAACAAGAAGAAAATTCCTGAGAAGACCCAAAAACCCAACAATTAGCTAAGTTAAAATAAATGTACTTTGAACAACAAAGAGCATATATATATATATATATATTATGGTCTCTAAATATATGAGAGAGAATTTGTGGTGATAGTGGTGTTTTGTCCCCA